ATTCGCTGCAATACGGAGTAGTTGCTACGGTGGGAATAACTGCGACCTCGGCCATCGTCTTGATTCCATGTCCATGTCGATGTCGCACAGTTTCTGCTGTTGGCTTTGTCAAGGTTCTATTCGGCGTCAAACATCCCGTCAATACGGCTCAGCCGATGGTGTAGAGAGATAAGACCCAGGTCAGGTATAATATAAGAGCAGATAATGAATGTCAACTACCCCCCTTCAACGTTGCCTTCTCCCGAATTATTATCTTGTTGATCAGGAAGTTCACTTGATTATACCTCGACGTATCATAATCAGCAGTTCGGTTGGAACGGTGTTAGATCTCTAGGTTAGATGCTGGTGCTTCTGGCGTTGCAGCTGACGAAGCTCTAAGGTGCAGACCTGCAGAAAGAAACCCACAATGTAATTGGTCCCACAGAGAGGGCCTTGGTTTTGTTCCAGTATGGTAGGGCTATTCTCATTGGTTTCATCAGTTTTCAATCGTCTCATTGGAGGGGGACAACCCCCACAGTTGCGTGTCATCCCTGTCATCTCTTATCAACCCCTGCCACATTTTTTCTAACTGCCCGTCGGTATTAGTGACATCCGCACATAACGAGTTAGCTCAGTAAGAGTTAGCGTCTTCGCATCCGTGTCTATGAGATAGCCTGCCGGCCTGCATAAGAGATATATTAGCGTCCTTAAATCTCTTTTACCAATCAAACTTCTTCATTCAACCACGTGCGCTCTCACCGCCGTTCAAGAGGTTCGCGACCGTTGCAATGTTCATCGACGATAGCTTCGTTTTAGCCATTATGATTACGTGCCTTCTGGACCGTTTGATTCCTAAGAGGTAATTGGTCATGCGCTCTTTTACCTCTTGCAGTAGGACTAATGTCGTATTGTCGCAGTCTGGAACTCGGTTCCCGTTGATACGAGCGAATTGAATATTCCCGGCTCTCTAATGGCTACCTATGTTGCAACGGGCTTAACCGTAAAATGACTTTGTTTCGGCTGCGGACAGATACCCAGACAACCGTATGAGACAGAGGAACCCATAGCTACCAGAACCGAGACCCGAAAGGATCTTGCAGGTCTCGTGCCCAATTGCCAAAAACGACAACGTCCATGTGCATCTTCCATGATGCAAGCAAGAGGCGGGAAACATACAGCCAATTTTCTTCCACGAGGGTCATTTCACACAAAAAAACGTTGGAGATTGTGCAACAGAATCCGCCCAATCTTCTAAACTTCCAGTCTAACCTTGGAAGTGGGCAGTTTCAAGAGCTTGTCCTCAGGGATTACCATCATTGTGATCAAGGCGATGGTGTCGCAACGCAACGTGCTGCGACACTACCTAGGCTACACACATGCAGGATGCTGCAGGACGTCGTCGTTCAGTTCCCCGGACTTCCGCTATATAGATCGCCTCAAGTAAGGGAACGATTACGAAGGCTACCTCCATGCACCTCTTCAACCAACCAGTCAACCATCTCGTATCATCCGCGTATTTCTTAAGACATTGACAGCTAGCCAACTAGCTTTCATGGATTTAGGATATCAAGAGATATTGAGCAGAGCCGGCCAGACCTTCTGTACAGAGAAGCCTCCAAACGCGGGGATATCCATGTTCAAAAAGAAATTACAATAGTTGCATGGGCATCGTGATGAAGAGCCAACCCAGCCAACCACTAACGTCCCCATCCCTCCCAATCCTCCTGTTGAGGTTACCTCAAATTCATTTCCTCCCGTTCTCAAGCATCGCCACATTGGTATAAATCGCTGGATTTCTAACCACCCAATTCTCTGATCCTTACTCGGGCTCGATTGAACCCTCCCCCTACAAGCCACAACGAGCGAGATAGATGTCAAATGTTCTAACTACCTACAAGCAGCACGCAACTTATTACCTAACAGGTAACAGTCCTAGTCTCTGCAGAGTCGTATTTCAATCCATGCTCACTACATTGAGCCGCAGCCGAACATTAGCGGCCCCCTCCTCCCGAGGGGGGGGCCGCCTAAGATACCTAGCACCATGTATTCTATCCATACTAACGACCAGGTACTATTTGTTATGAGGTCTAGACTCTAGAGGCCTTGAAAGTACTAGGGTCCTACTGCCATCGCCATAACGGCTTGTAGCTAGTAAGCTGTCAACTTTTTCCTTTCTTTTCTTCGGGTTTGATAGGTTCACGAGAGGAGCGGCAAGCGACGGCGAGAAATTCGTCGCCTCTGTGTATCTCTATGTCAAGTGTCTAAAACAAAGAAAACGTCGGAATACCACAACATTGATTCTAGAAAATTCCGGGCTGTCAAGTTGGAGATTCTAGCTTGCGCCAGAAAGTGAGACCGGTCTGACAGTCGAGACAGGGGCGCAGACAATGCTTTGTCTCTCAATGCTTCAGTTGCCGAGCGGCATCGGAATGGCGTTCATGCAGCCCATGGGAATGCAGATTATTCCATCGCCTCGGGTAGGACAAGGCGGGATGTGATTTGTCGCATCTCCCATCTACTCCTTTCCATACCACCCGATCTTTTTCTCAATCTGCGATCGCCATGGCCGGCTACACAGCATGAAGATACGGAGCGGGTTTCCCCCTTTGTATCTGTCATAAATGATATAATATTTTGGGAAACGCATGTGCTTTTTTTTTTTTTTTTTTTTTTTTCATGCGGAGACTAGTTGTGATGGGCTCGGCAAGAAATTCGAACCGAAGGTGACGCCATTCCGATGCCCGCGGGATGCTCGGCAGTCTTTCGGAGACACTCACCCCTCTTGATAGGTACCATACTCCCGATATCGAAATCCTACAGTGTAGGGTAGGATAAGGTGTGGCCGTGAACCACAGTACGATAACGCGCAATGTATATATGTGTCCAGGTGACCCCCGGACCGAGTCTGACTGCTGTTCCGTTCAGGAAAGTGTTCGCGTGCTCGCTTTGCTATGTTGATAAGCCCCATTTCCGCAGCGATCTCGAACAGTGTTTCACTGTTTCCCCAGGCTTTCGTGTGCGCGGCACTTGCAACAGCAAGACAATGTCATGTCTTGGCGCGGCTATCCGTCGTCTCATACGATTCAACCACAATATCTAATCGCGTGCCATCATATCGATATTACGTCGTCCGAGAATAACCCGAAAGAGAAGCTATATGCATTGATGCGGGGCAATGGGCGAAACGGCAACCCTTTCTTTCCGCTTGATGGATGAGACTCAAAAAAAAAAAAAAAAAAAAAAAAAAAAACCACGACGTCCAGACCTGACTCAATTGACAGATGTGTCAGGTTAATTATGGGGGAGATTTGCAATTGAACGATCGCATGCTACCATACTCAGAATGCCTTGTCACCTGCAAGAATTGTGAGGTGCCTCATCGAAGCTCTTACAGGTCAAGTATAAGTCAGCATCGACAAATATCCTCAACCGACTAATATGCACGCACTCATGCGTAGAGGTTTCCCCAATTTCCGTGGGTTTCTCACCTAATATCACAGATCGAGAGAATGACTTTAGTTGTCTATTGCAACTTATAGATGCTCGATGGCCGAACAGTTAGCTTCCAAACTATTGGAGATGCGCAGACAGGGAATGAGACTGGGTGAACCAGCGATGCAACAGCCACGATTATATCTTAAAGTCGCGTTTTCATATCCCGCCTCGTCAAGAAAACCCAGATGTCCTCACGGACTTCTACTAACTCATGCACGTGGTACGTTGTCTCTACAAACGGTAATCAAGCGAGACTTTTATGTCTTCATGGTCAGCGGCGCGCCAGCCTCCGTCTAACGCCCAACTTCATTCGGGTTATAGAGAATCTTTCAACTGGCCCGTGATGATGGACCAGCACGGCGTCTTGGTGCACGCTTGGGTTCGAGTAACGAACCCCAGCGTCTTCATAAACTACCGTATGGCATGGCTCGGTCGTATGATCGATATCGGACACGCTAATACCCAACATGAAGCTTCTGTAGGTGGATATGTTGGGTAATCACTTGGTAGTACTGGCGTTGTCAGCATTCTGGGGAGCCGATAGTGCATACCGCGTGGCAGGATCGACCGGTCCCGACATTGGATGGCGCCCGCGGAGGCGTTGAGGTCGGATAACCATGCATAGTAACGGTTTTTTTCGCATTTTAAACGATGGCCTAGGCTTCTCCCCAAAGGTATATCCTGCGAGCCTTTCATGATCATGGTAGAGGAGCTATTATGGTTATTATCAATCTCTTGTTTATCGGCTTTTATGTCGAGAACCACTGATCTGTGTACTATGCTATACGGTGGAGTTACGAGTTGAATCTTACAACCTCACTCACTCAGCCACCGTCGAGAAAAGATTGCGTATGCTCTAAATAATAACATTATATTTAATATATAAAACAATCATAACTAGCAATCCTAAAAATTAAGTAAAAATCAGTAAATTATTATTTAAAAATAGTAATTTTTATTATATTTTTTTATATGATTATAGCGTTTGGGATATTATAATTATATATAAATAAAAATAAAAAATATTATTATTTAATATATAATTTTTAACCATATAATTTATCTAATAAAATTACATTTCGAAAAAATCAGAAAAATTATCAGTAAATTAAATAATTTACGGCGAATAGAATGATATAAATTTTATATATATAATTGATATTGATATTAATATTAATTTGATTTATTTGAAAGGCTATGTTAGTAATATTTGGTGGGATGCGCAATCTTTTCTCGACGGTGGCTGTCACTTCAATAGATTCTTCATACCCACATATATTGGATTTTCTGCCGTTTACGATCGCTCGAGATACTGCTGTCTTCGACGGCCTTCCTATGTACCTTATACACCATCTTGTGGAGAAACTAAGCGGTTAGGTCATGGTGGATAAAGCCTGACCTCCGGATCCCCAAGTGTCCACCACGTCCGGTACCAGACGGTCTGGACGGTCTATTGCCCTACTCCACTTGTAGCCCTACAGTAAAAGTTTCCATTATAAATAAAGGCCAAAGTTTTCAAAAAGAAACGACGCAGGCCTGATTCGAACAGACGCTCCCGAAGGAACAAGATTAGCCTTATCTCGGATAGAGACCATTCTAGTCTTGCGCATTAGACCACTCTGCCACTGCGCCCTCATTGTGTGGTATACCCATCACGTGGCAGAGTGTCGCCAAAAACAATATATAATATAACGCCAGCAACTCCACCAAGTCGCTGCCGATCTTTGGACACGGCAAATCGTGTGTGTCATTGCAGCCAGGGTTTTTACATTGTAAGAATTGGGCTGCCTGAGTTGTCAAGCTTTCGAGTTGGCCTTCGGGGCGGATTTCACTCACCTCGCCTTCTAACTTCACGACTTTTTTAATATCCCAACACTGTTAATTATGAAGGGTAATAGTGAAAGAACAAGGCACATTGTTTTGAATCTAATTCAGGGGTATGGACTATCTTGCCATTCAAGTTGTGGCATATCATGTATGGTTAGGTAAGTAGCTGGCGACAGGGCTTCGCCTTGACGATAGGAGTGTGCTGTCATATAATTGGGTGGTTTCTAGATTCTAAGGCTTCGAAGAAACCGAGCAGTTGGCTCCTTGCGATACCTTGTGAATAAGAATCTTCTAGATTCTACTTGATACATAGAATGTTGAAAGAGCCGATTATTGAGTTCAAAGCAAATAAAAACGTACATAGATACCCTGGTATATCAGAATAATGTACTTCTTCTGAAATCTTAGGTTTATTCAATAATAACCAGCATACAGTTATATGGGTGAGTAAGGTATCATCATACCAGGACTGCCATAGAGTTCCTGAAGCGCAATAAGCCCGGCCTCACCGCGAAGATAGTCAGGAATCAACAGTTCAACGAGAGAGTAATAATCTTAGGTGGCCCGTATCCCATTCAAGCTTCGAACACTCAAGCTTCACACACTCAAGCTTCACACACTCAAGCTTCACACACTCAAGCTTCACACACTCAAGCTTCACACACTCAAGCTTCACACACTCAAGCTACATCTTCATCATTACATTAATACGTCTTATATTATCCACAGCCACAATTGGCCTGCTCTTACTTTGTACATCAACCGATAGAGCTGGCTGACTCCAATCCCAAAATCCCGGCTCATACCGGCGGGTTCGGCTCCTCGAAGCTGATCTTACCCGCGTTGACATCGGGATAGACATCAAAGCGGCGCTGCGTCGAAAGCGGGATATTCCTCCTCGTCGTCGCTATCGTATCGCCGTCGAGCTCCGCCGTCACGATATCCTCGGTCTCGTCCGCCTCGGCCAGGATCTTAGCCATGGGGTCGACGACGAGCGTGTGGCCGTAGGCGTGGTACGACTGGCTCGTGTCGCGCGCGGGGCTGCACAGCGCCACGTACAGCTGGTTGTCCATGGCGCGGGCGCGGCCCTGGAGACGCCAGTGCAGCGGGCCGGTGGTCGTGTTGAAGGCGCCCGGGTAGACGAGCGCGAAGCAGCCGCGGCGCGCGGCCACCGTCGCCAGCTCCGGGAACCGCACGTCGTAGCAGATGGCCACGGCGATCTTGCCGTAATCCGGCAGGTCCACGATCGACACCTTGTTGCCCGGGGACAGCACGTCGCTCTCGCGGAACGTGATCTGCCCCGGGATGTCGATGTCGAACAGGTGCACCTTGCGGTGGCTCGCCAGCAGCGCGCCGTCGGGCCCGAAGATCAGGGACGTGTTGTAGTACTTCTTGGTTGAAGGGTCCGGGTCCGCCTCCGGGATCGAGCCGCCTACAAGGTACGTCTTGGTCTCGGCGGCCATGGCCGACAAGGCGTGATATGAAGGGCTCTGTTCCTTAGAGGGCGGGCCGGGAAGTAGGGTCTCGGCGTACGAGGGGAAGAATTCGCAGCCGTAAGGCGAGTTGAAGCACTCGGGTAGAACGATGAGCTTAGCACCTGTCGCGGCCGCCTCAACGACCTTTTCCCTCGCATGTCTTAGGTTGGCAGCCTTGTCGGCGCCGCTAGCTAGCTGGATGCAAGCTAGCTTGAGGGGCTGCTTGAGAACGGGCTCGTTTGATGTAGCCATGGTGCGAACTAGGGGGGATCTTATAAGGGGTGCAAGACTTTTAGTTACGGCTGGAGAGGTCCGGGGTGAAGCTGTGAATGACTTTTTTAAAACTACCGCGGTCTTCAGCAACCTTCTCATGGTGTATCGTACAGCTTATCTTCAAGATAGCTGCAGACACTACACCACGTATTGGAGGTTGAGCTCAGCTTAGTTACGCAATGCGGGGCGATATGCTTGGCTTAATGCATGTGGGACAATGTTGACCAGATTGAATATCGTAATATCGTATAATTATTAATATGCCATATACCCCTGACCTGTTGCCCATCCATCATTCATGTTGTACAAAATCACATAGCCCGTGTTGAACCCCGCTGAAATGAAATTGGAAAAGTCGAGTTTTTGTTAAGAATCTGGATTCTCATGATGGCGAAATTTGACCACGAACCCAACACCGGCAGTCTGATCGATGTATGTAGCTAGCCACAGCAATGACTACGCCCGATATCCCAACCATATATGACCCAATTCCAAACCCGCCGGATACGTCCTCGTGGTTGATCGACCACCAGAGTGATAGGGCAAGACTGGCGAATAGCAACGATATCGTTGCTGCCGATAAATAGAAGCACACGTATGTTCGTGTCTCCTCGTGGGTAATAGTGAAGCTAGGAGGGTCGTCCGGAGTCTCCAACGTTAGCTGGGAGAGCTGCTGATTGGTTGGTGATGATGGTGGGAGTGACATTAAAGGGGATATTGGTCGTGTGTATAAGGGTCATTGAGGTAGGCAAACAATCCTCTGCGGCTAATGTCGAAACAGCTTAACATGCTCATGACCTCTTTTCCTGGAACACCAGTTAGGTGTGTACCGGCCCGCGAATTTTATGTACCTTCTACCTTTTCTACCTTTTCGGTGACCTAGACCCTAACCAGTGCCTACTCCACTGTGCATTCGTGAAAGTAGCAAAAAAAGGTACTTGAGATGACAGCTTCCAGGTTTGATGTTCGATGTTTCCTTTGACTATAGCTATGGCTTGCATAAGGCAACCTTTCGAGGCAGTGTTGAAAGACAAAGGGAGGCGAAGTTGGCTACCATCAGCGAATCAAAGCGGGTATAGGGTGAGAAAATCATGTAAGGCAGTCTCGAATTACTGACTTGAATTGGAAATGGTTGGCGGCCCAGTCCTAAAGCATGCTCATTCAAAGCGCTGCCTTCCTAGGAATTACACGGTCCTTCATTTTTTGCCTGATCACCAATCACAACTCCTTGCCAATAACTCCCCCAACTGCTCCAGGTGTTTCTTATCAACCTCGTCGAACCCGCTGACGTCCGCGCAGTCTATGTCGATGATGGCAACCAGTTTGCCAGCTTCGCCCTTCCCACCTACAACAATGGGAACTACGATCTCACTTCTACTGTCCCCGTCGCAGGCTATGTGGCCCGGGAACTGCTCGACGTCCGGAACTAGTTGTGTCGTCTGACTTTCTGCCGCTGCGCCACATACCCCCTTTCCAAAGGCGATGGTTTGGCATGCCACCTTACCCTGAAATGGGCCTAGGATGAGATGCGGTTTTGACTGCGTTGATTTTGGGTCAAGCACGTAGAAGCCTACAATATGAAAAGTTCAACTTGGGCGATTCTGAGAAGTTAGAGCTCTAATGGTAATTACTTACCTGCCCAGTTCACCTGATTGCTAGGTGAAGGCAACGACTTGTAGGCGTGCCATAAGAGAGAGGCCGCATTCGCCAGATTGCTGTGAGTGCATTAATACAGAAAGCAGCCATGTGTAACCCATAAGATAGCCACGTACCAGACCTAAGGGGTAGAAACATGAGCGTGAGTTGATTACGAAGTCCCAAGAGTCTGTACCCACCCAGTTCCTTTGATCATCGAATAGACCTTCAGCTTGTAGCAATACTTGCGTATAAGCCTGTTCTTTCGTCACCCCTTCGGCGAAGTTTGATGCGTCTGCGTGGACCTGGAATATGTTAAATTGATATTCGCTGCTTGATTTCGATGTTACCTAAACTGGGGAGGGCCTCACCATTTTAAATATTACGACCGTCTTCGGTCCCAGGTAAATCTCAAGCACTATACGTTTAATGATCTAGGATAGCGATACTGTCTAGATGAGGTTCCACGCTGAGAGTCAAGTGTGTACAACGGTATAATGATGCGTATGTGATACTCTTGAGGGAGAGATTCGAATTTGGAATTTGCCGAGCACGCCATTCGATATAGTAATACAGGGCCCACCTGAAGGCCGCTAATGACACCGGGGATTAGCCCTACCTGTACCCGTACTTTCGGGGCTAATGTCACCGGCATACCGGAGTTTATTTCGAAGGCACCGGAGCTCGATCGCTTTTATGAATGTATATATATCACTGTGTTGAGCAATCAACTGTTTTCTTGCGGTTCAGAAAGAGACATACGAACCCCTTCATGGACGATTGAATGTTAGGTTCAAGACAAGTTCTAACCATGATTATCCGGGGTAAATAGGGGCCCTACCTGGGGTATTCACAAGCGTATAAGTTGATTGGGTATTAGGTATAGCGGTCCGCGGGGCCCCCTGGATTCCAGCGTCGTAGTATAGCCCCTCGGACCCCTTAGGTAGGCCTCGGAACTAGATGCGCGGGCATGACCTAGAATCTCGACAGATCTGCGAATCTGGCTAACTCCAGCTTCTCTTTTCACGTGCCAATTCTATCTTCACCTCTGAGCCCGTTATTCTGACATCCTTCTGACATCCTTCCGATATCATGATTTAAGGCAAATTGCTATCGTAAAAGGAGACCTGACCTGAGATGGGACAGACGCCGCCGCAATGGGCGCCATGACACTGAAGCGAATCCCCGCCTCCCACGCGCGCCTGCGGCAAGTCGTCGTCGTCTCCGTCGTCTGCCTCGCGCTGTACTGCTTCCTCCTCATACCCGAGCACAGCCTGAACGCATCACGCACCGTCCCGGAGCCCTTCCACTTCAGCTCCCAGCAAGCACCCCCGCGGCACCACCACCATCCCGCGGAGCTCCTCAACAACCGGTTCCTAACAGCACCACAGTGCGCGGCCGCGTTCCCGGGCCTGACCAAAG